TTATTAAAAGTAGTAAATAAAATATAACTGATTATTAATTATTTAAAAGCTTAAAATATAAAACAATTGTCTACTCTTATGTGCTTTTATTGTTTAGCTTTTGCTTAACAAAGTCCATGCATTGCACGGGTCCCTACTAGGTGCAACTTGATTGGGTTGGGTCGGGTTGAAGGTCAATCTAATCCTAAGTCTCAAATCTCAAGCTCAAGTTTGGTCCAATTCAAGGTTAAGTCGGAATTTACCAACCTAGGCCCAACTCAACCTTAACTAAGCATCTCAGGCTTAGGGATGGCAATTTCTACCATACCCGATGGGTATCCACCCCTACCCACCTCGATGGGGCAGGTTTTTTTTTATTTTTTGAAGGATGGGTTTTGGTGAAAGTTGGGAAATGTACGATATTAGGCTAAACCCAACCCCTTCAACTTGCATATTGTTGGAAAGTATATAAACTTTATGTAATAGGTGTTGAATTTATTAAAATTTTGGATTGAATGTAAAGGATAATTGATAATTTATGTGTTCTTTTACATCTTAATCAAATAATTTGGAAATTTTGTTGTTTATTTATGTTATTTTACTTATTTATTGCATTTAGATAACAAGAAATAATAGGAAATTAGGTGTAGGTTTTAAACCCAACCCACCCCTACCCTTGAATACGATGAAGGTTTTGCAATTTCATGTGCAGAGAGGGTTTGGATTCTCAAAATCCAACCCGCTAAGTGGGTAGAGTCTAAAATTTATGAAACCCTCCCTGAACCCATTTTGTTACCATCCCTACTCGGGCTAGGCTTGGGCATATTGAGCTTTGTAGCTCAATTTCTAGATATATATATATATATATCAGCAAACTTAAATTGCATCGAATCAATACCTGAGGCCTCAATGTAAGTCCAATCTGAATTTAGTTTATACCCAAGTTTTTTTGCTCAAACCTATCTTAAAGTTCAAAAACTCAAATCCAACCTGTGCAAAAGTTTTGATTGAATCAGGTTGGCTTGAATTGGATACACCCAACCTGCACCCTTGGCTTTATTGTTTGAAATGATTTTAACGAAGCCTATGCATCGCACGAGTCCCTCTAGCTTAAAATAAAGAACAACACAAATAACGAATAAGGCTCGATTTGGAAGGAGTACAAATACAAATATGTAGAGTGCAAATACATACAATATAATACAAAATACAAGGTTTTGCACTCTACATATTTATAACTGAGATTGAATTCTTATAAAATCTGGTCATAAGTAAAACAACCAGATTACATTGGGGTTTCGGTTTTGGGTAAGGGCAAAATTGGATTCTTATAAAATTTTACCAACAAATGGATCATAACAGATTATTAACATACGGGTGGGGGTTTGTATTTATGAGAAATGTGAAGGGAGGTTTAAGTAGGGTTGTTCACGGGTCGGGTTGGGTCGGTTTATTGGCATTTTTTCAACCAACCCGACCTGGTTGGTTTACCTAGAAATGAAATCGAAATCGACCCAATACTAAGTAAAACCGACCTGGTCGGTTTGAGTTGGTTTGGGTCGGTTTTGTGAATGATTCTCCCAGTGTGAACGGTAAAGATTCAAGTCTAAGAAGCGAAGGCTGGAAGCCTGGAAATTAAAAATGATTTGATGGATTAAAGATGAAATTTTATATATAATATGTATATTTCTGAAATAAAGCTAAAATAAATATATATATATATATATTAAAACTGAAATATATCAGATATATATAATATATCTAAGTCGGTTCAGTTTCAATTTTCACACACGAAAACCAAAATCAAACCGAACCATCGGCTTATGTTTTTCTGTAACCCAAAACCGACCGGTGCTGAAGAAAAACTGACCAACTCGGGTTGGATCGGATCGGGTTGGTCGATTTGGTCGGCTTGGGTCTTGTTATGAACAACCCTAGGTTTAAGTGTTTAACCCCTTTTCTTCTACGGGGTTTTTACCCTTCCGTCCACCCCTAAGTGGAGCTACCAGTAGATTAGGGGTGGACTGAATCCTACCCGTGGATTCATGCCAAAATCACATACAAGATGTCGTTTATGGGGAGGCCATCCCGTGGATTGATGCCAACTTCACGCAAGTTTAGAGGGGAGGCTATACTAGACTAGGAGGGGGCTGCAAAATTAATTTGGGGATTGCAGTCCAAAAATCCCTTCTTATTCCTGGTGACAGAATAGAACCCTATTTTTATCTCTCTTCTTCGCGCCTTTGAAAGTTGAAACAGAACTTCAAAGGTCTACGCAATGGAAGCCACAGCGACAACGATGGGCGTATGTTATGGACACACCGCCCAGCAGCGCACTGCAGCGCAGTCATAGGCGGCAGCACGCACAGCAGCGTGCACCACCACGCATAGCAGCCACACAGCAGCACGCACCGCCGGCAGCGTGTAGCACGCACCGCGCGGCAGCAGCACGCACCGCACGGTAGCAGCACTCACCGCATGGCAGCAGCGTGCACCACATGGCAGCAACACTGTGAGACGCACGCAGCGCCCGACAGCAGCAGTAGGGGGGGCCACACGACAGCTCATCAGGGGCCCACTTACCTTGCCACTCTATCCAACTCGCCGCCAGCTGTATTATCCCTCATCCCTTATCCTTATCTTATCTTGTCTTCTTAGTAAGAGTTCGGTTTGCCACTAGAAGTAGGAATTGTGTTACCATTAGAAGTAGGTAATTTATTTAGAAGTAGGAGTTTGAGTTTGAGTTGGATTACCCTAGCCTAGTCAAATCCAACAAGGAACCCCCCCTTTGTAATCTCCTATTTAAGGAGCCATGAGTGGAAATAAAGGCATTCAGTTTTCCAGTCAAGAAAAGAGTGAGGAGAGTTCGGGTGGTCTCTTGGACAAATCACCCATTCGGAGAGTTCGGGTGGTCTCTTGGACAAAT